GCTTTGTTTCTGCTTTTCGCTATTCTGGGCTCTTCCGGAACCCGGAGATCTTACTACTAAATCTTGTCTGAAGACTCGAAGGAAGGCTTCGCGAACCTCTAGCCAGAATCTCGCCCCACAACGCTCTTGAGACAGGGAGCAGCTGAAGGAGCGACGTCAGCCAGTGACCCAACCTGGCTGGCCGACGGTGCCTATGATTGTAATGTAGGGGCCTAAACAACCATGTAAATAATTACCTATACTGTTTTGGGGGGTTCCTTATTATAACCATAGTATAATGAGCCCCAAAACCCTATTCTAATTATTCAGGCCCCGATATAAAATACCAGGTTCAGGTCTCAGTTGTGCAGCTATGTCTTCTCTGCTTCCTGTCGTTGCGATGGTCTCTGACTGTTGCTTTGCTGTTGATCCCGGTCTCGTCTGCGTTGTGGACTTTTTCCTGAAAAACTTTCAGCGACACCCCACGAAAATCTGAACCCTGCATTGCTGGCATCGCACCAACCAACAGTGCCTTAGGATTTCTGCAGGGTCCAGAGCTCACGCAACCACTCTTAGAGACCCAAGCCCTGAACAGGCAAGCCAATGAGAGTAAGCACATGCATAACATAACAGCGATAACATGGTATTCCTGGCAATATATACTTTCTTGATTGTATAGTTGGTAATGAAGGAAATCTTAGTAAGACGAAGCGAAACAGTCAGAGTTTCGCCCTTCTTGGACTCCTGGGCAGGCTGTGCGGCCGTCCGAGCCGAGAAATCTTACATCGCTTGAGCCCTACCAAGGTCCGAATTAGTTCTACCCTCGTTCAAGCATAAAAACCTGCACATCCAAAACAAGAAACCAACAAACACCAAGCCTCTGACCGATACAGTACACCAGCCAAGGGCGGCCCAAGCCCGCTGCCGTGAAGGGGGGGCGTGAGCGTCCGGTGCGGCCACGGCGCAAAAAGAAAAGACACCAGCTGGGAAGGTAATGTCTTTTTGGTTATCTGGCCGTGGGGCCTTTTTCGACCTGTGGATACTCGGCTGTGGTATTACATGGGGTTTAAAACGGCCCGGCGGGTGAACAAAACAAAACACAACTTCCGGTAGCCAAACAACCAATCACGGCTGGTGCACTGCAGCGGCTCTCAAAAAGCCCGGCGGCCAGACAACTACAACAAACACCAATACATTACATATGTGATCTAGGAGACATATTAGTTAGCACCTGCTCCTGCGATCTGCTGATGCTAGCCCCTCGAGTACGACATAACAGGCCCCAAAACCGCAAACGACTGGTTCGGAAGAATTAGCAAGATTATCCCCTTAACTACAGTCGCTATGAATAGAAGGAAACCCCTTTAAGTCCAATTAGGCCACCGGACGCTGCGGCGCGGCTTTCTAGGCCGAAGCTACCAGCCAGATGAGCCCGAGCCTCCATCCAAAGAGTTTGGGTTTAGAGTTTCGGGTTTCGGGGACGCTTAAGCGGGTGTGATCTCTAGCTCTGATCTGCTGCAGAGTTGCATGGGTGTCAGGGTGCCTGCGAACCTAGTTATAATGAAGCCCTTTTGCAGGACAGTTGTCTCTTTCCATGCTGCACTCGTGACAGCATGAAGCCACGGGATGCGAGCGACTGAGTGCACGACTGCCCTAAACCTCTGCGTGCGCTTAGCGATGCGTCATGCTGATTATCTGCAGCCTATATGGCTCGTCCGCAAACACTATAGTACATCCTGATTGGCCTAGCTCCAGCTTATTCCAGATTCAGATTCAACATTGTGGCAGTTGGATGACAGTCTCGAATTCCGCCCTCGATCTGCCTCCAAAGATGCGAGAGTTGGATCTCGCCACGCCGCCAGAGTTCCCGGATCTTTTGTGGCGACGAGGCATTCCTGTGGCACTCAAGACGCCTTCCAGCCAACCCCCTAGCAAAGCGGGTACACGTACCAGCCAGACTAAGCAAGCAAAATCTTGCACAAGTCATGCTTGTGATGATGACAACCAGCAGTACTTGCCCGCTGTCCACATTGTTGCGAAAATGGCCGTCCTCTTCTAACAGCGGCACCACCACACCCTCGTACGGGGACTGCGCGGTGGCCAGCAGCAAAGCCCAGGCGGAACGCAGCAGCACCATGATAAGGGTCACGAGGTAGGGGTTACTACAAGGGGTACCTCAATGCTGGAACCGCTTTCTATGAATATCTATCCAAACATACCCCGGCCCTTCGCGTGCATGTGCTAGCTGCCTACTCCTCTCGCAAACAAAAAGAATTGTGCCATTAAGATGCATTAAGCAACAACTACTACACAGATACTATGCAGGGATACAATAGGAGTACGGTTACTGTTATTTACTATTACTAATTACATTTTGCCCTTGCTGCGCCCATCTACACCCCTAAGCTCTCGTAGTACCTACTACACCAGGGCGGTGTTTGGCATATTTGGCATGAAACAATCTGCTGATTCGAGCCGGTGTGCATGCTGCCTGTCGTGATCTTCTCAGACTACACTGAGCCCCACAAACAACACTCTACACTCTGAACCCCAAGTCCAGCCTCGAACCCATGTTTCGGCTCCGTTCAGTAAACCCCTGCAAGATGTCTAGCAAAAAACCAAACCCTTACAGACACCCTCTTAGCAACTAGTCCCTTACGCTAGCCATATCTGCTATAGTTGCCCTGTTGGGGGATTCTTATGAGAAGCCTTACGGTAACCCTTTCTGACCGAGGTCTCTCTGAAGTACCATTTTTTTTGAACCCAGGCTCTTTGCTATCAGCAAACCCTATAAACCCTAAACCCTTTTTGTGAACCTAAACCGTAAACCCTAAACCCTGAGCCGATATAACCCTTATTCTAATATCCGCCCACACGACTCCGCTCAGACGGCGGCCAGCAGCCCAGGCCAGCAGTCGAATCTAGGTTCCGAGTTCTACAACGATTTGAGGTCGTTTTTAGCAAAAAAACTTAAACCCAAAACCCTAAACCGATGTAGGGTTTAGGGTTAGGGCTACAGTTTTTGTGGTCTATATAAGAGTGCATGGCTTAGGTTCTATAGAATCTATTTTTTCTTTTTTTGGGGACGGGAGGCAGGCTCTTCTCCTTCTACCTGAGGGTTGGAAGTATTGACTCCGGAGTTTACGAGTTTAGTATTTAGGGCTTGAGTTTAAGGTCTCGGGGAGAGTCTTGGGAGGAAAGAGTTACTAGTCATACTAAGCTGACAAACAATGATACTAATAGTATGCAAAGGTTCATGGTTATAATGTCAATACTGATGTTCGTGCGAGTGTGGTTTATGTACTTGTACTACTAGAAATACAAATATCGAGAACAACATCAATAGCACATCAAAAGCTGAAATTTATACTAAAACTCTGAAACATGTAATCACAAGAAGTTAATGTTTCTAATGTTAACGCATGTATGCACTCATGTGTATGTATGTACGTTTGTACGTAAACACACACACACATACATGCATGCATACATGCATACATACATACAAACATGCAGGCATAATAACATACAATCAAACAAACAAACAAACAAACATACATACATACATACATACATACATACATACATAAGACATAAATGTAGTGTGTGCATATGTATGTATATATATATATATACACATATTCATATACATATGTAAATCGTATGAAACTGCGTCTTTAGGCATGCAGAGGCACGTCTATTTAACTAAACAGCCTGTCAAAAATAAACATACAAACACATGTAACCAAGTCAATACGAATACATACAAATATTTATGTGTTTTATGTAGATGTACAAACAGAGCCAAGTGCAGTGCCGGGTTGATGCGCATATGTTCCCTTCACTGCCTTGCTCGGGATGGTGGCTGGCTCAGTATGGAAGGCAACGTACCAGATATCCCGGCCGAAAGGAAACAAGGAAAGATCAGAAAGCTGCCCGCATGCTTCACGCCTCCCATGATGTTACGAAGGCAAAGTCTGAGGGCCAAGTGTCTGATGCATGGCCACGCATAACTCCCAAAGGCTCTTCGAAGGACATAATATAGGGGCCTTGACAGTTAGAACAGGGTTTTGGTGTATACAAATATACTAGTCTATATCTACAAGAAACAACTCCCCAAACTAGTATTGGTAAGTCTTTATCCAGCCCTTCGTGATGAGCAACCAGCTCAGGGCCAGGCTCAATGCGAAGCCTGGGAGCTTTCAAAGATTCGTGCTGAGTTCGCAGAGCCGTGTCGCTCCAGGGTTTTCGTCGGGGTGGGGGTTTCGGACAATAAGGGGCCCGTTTCAAAATTCAGAATAGAAGGTAGGATGGATCCTTGCCATGAGGATTCTCCAAATAAGCTTCTCCTACTTCAAGAAACCGCACATGGTACGCAGAGTCTGCGTAGGAGGACGCAGAGGAGATTGCGATGTCAGCGCAAGCCGACCAAATTACTCCCGGAGCAGCAACTACTGGAGATACCGACAAGAATCCGTTGCCGCCCTGACGGGCCATGGTCATCTTCAGAACGACACCAAGCACAAAAGAGCACCGTTGCCCGAAGTCCTTAGCACCTCGCACGCAACTGTGCTGTCTGCCGTCTGGGTCGACCTTGGTCGCTGCCACCTGAGTAAATAGAAGGCAAGAGAGAGAGAGAGAGAGAGAGAGAGAGAGAGCGAGCGAGCGAGAGAAAACAAAACACAATAGCATACAAACACGCACAAACAGACAGATAATGACGGAGTGCTTGTGTGCCTGCGTGTCTGTGCCGCGTCTCTGTGCCCCGTGGCTGCGTCTGTGTGCGTGGAGATCTTTGTGCGCATGTGGCAGCCTTGCACGTGTTGACCATCAACAAATGCACATGTTCGTGTGTATATACGAGATAGGTACGACCAGAATAAAAAATCAAGCTAAGCAGGCTTGCTTATACATGTAAACACATAATGACATAATATGAATGTAGTCTGTATGCAGGTGCCAGTCAAAACTCATGTGCAAAAAAGCAACTTGTGATGAAGATCTAGCTGACGGAAATAAGCACTGTTCTGTGACTATGTCTGGCGGGAACATGTGGCTTTAGATATATGTGGCTATGCAAACCCGTGCATGGAAGCAAACTTCAGCAGGTGATCATCTGAATGCTGCCTGTGCACGCAGGTTTGCATGCCCTCCCTACCCCTCCGATTCCTTCGGGTTGCCCGCTACTTGTTTGGACGACCTCGTGAACCAACCCTTGGGGATTTTGTAAGGTCATATATAATGGTGATATGATATGGGAGCGTCGGAAGCTACTGCAACCTATGCAGTACTGCGGTTCTTGACGCGAACATCCGTGACTCCGTGACTCTTATAACAACCACGAGATCAAAACTTATATTGGTCACAAAGCAACTCGCACATGATCCATCTCCCCTCAATCAGGCTGGGCTGTGTCAGATGCGCACGCTCTCCCGCATAATGGGGGATATTTGGGAACTGCAACAGACGGGCATGGTGCCGGTCAAGATTTTCACCTCAATCTGCTGCGGGTCGGCCGGCGGCCTTCAGATCGCATTTGGAGACACGGGCCTCGCAAGAGTGAGAGCTGCGATTTAGGGTTTATAGGGTCCCTAAGTCCTAAACCGTCCGACAGTGGCTTTCGGCGTTCAGCGACGTGAAGCAGCAGCGGCAGTTGAGTAGCACAGTAGCACCGCAATCGGCATCTTGCAACTGTGCTTTCGGAAATTGGAGTTTTGAAAAATAGGGGACCTTACCATAGGATCCCAAATAATATATATATATATATATATATACATATATATATATATATATTAGGATACGGACTTTTGAATATGGTACCATCACAGGATTCTGTAAGGCCCAGACCTTTTTTTGCTAAAACCCTTTTAAGCCCCAAGCCCTAAAACCCAAACCGATGCCCCTGAGAGCCTCAGACCAGAAAAAACCAAGAGCCACACGCGACTTCTTCCGCCTCTGCCTCCGGGTGCGCGACCTGCAACGGTAACAAAGGGGCCTTACTATTAATCATTGTAATAAGAAGGAACATTTTAACTCTGTTTGCGGCGATACGGTTTCTGAGTCTACTAGCAGACATAACCGCGCCTCGCCCTAAACATCATTTCTGACTCTTGCTGCAGTCGCAGCAAGCTTCACTCCCCCCCTGAGAAGCCTGGATGACGAGCCCACGCTCTGCTCCCCCTTTCGAGACGGTCACCTCGGCTTCTGAGGAAAGGTTTGCGGACCTTTTGATGCGCTGGGATTGCGGATCATTGCGGCAGACCCTTCGTGAAAAGTGTTGTGCTTTCCGCGTTTATGAATACCAGCCGCATTCCAGCCGCTGCAAAGACCCTACCATGATGATTCAAGCTCCGTTCTAACAACTCCGGACAAAGTACCGACAAGCATGCACTGGAAGATTCCAGCTTGCCAAGCCCTGACACTTGCCCATGGAGAAGCCTCTTCCGACTGAGACAGGGGCTGTCGAATCACCACCCTTGGCTTTGAGGGCTGCCTTTGCCTCAGGGCATTTCTCTTTTCCGGGGCTCTTTCTTTGCAGCGTCGCTTCTACCTTAGATCGGAAGTTTCATTTTTTTGCGACTGAGATCCAAGTCTATCGGAATTTTCTTCAACGCAAAACCCATAACACTAAAACTTCAAAGCCTAGCACCCCAAAACCTCGCATGGGGCTTACCCGGATCGCAAGGTCCCAGGAGCCCCTTCGGCTCTCTCTGGCTAGCATAGGGGCCACAATAATGAAGCCTTAAGTAGAACCCCAGGGCTCCAAGTATACAAACAGCACCTACTTTGGGGTCTAAAGTCTATAGTAGAATTATGTGAAGGAGACCCCATGACTAATTACGCTCGTGCTCGGGCCACCTTCACGGCATCATACGCAATGCCCAACTCTGTCCTTTTCATACCCATCGTAGCAGGCTGCATGCACTTAAGTTTCCCACTTGGCATTCAGCGGCCTCAGGCTACGCCTGGGCCTTTGATGCTCGGATCCCCGAAATCCGAACGACTGGGTTTCCCATAGCCCAAATCCAAGTACCCAAAGATGTTCTCTGCCAAGGGGAGTTTCTTAATGTCTCAATGGGAACAGTCGACGAGCCCCTAGCATCAGCAGGATAGAACACGTGAACAAACAGGCAAATCAAGCATGAGACAAGAACCGAAGTTCAACAGCGAAGTTTATTTATTTAGTATTCGTCTAATGGAACGCCCATCCTTACTGCGGGCCCTTATTTATCTCGTTCGCCAGGTAGGCCGGCCTGGTGTGCGGAGTCATGTGCACTAACTACAGTATCCACTATCCTTACCATCTCGTGTTAACTGCGAGCCCTATCTCGTCCCCCAAGCCACGTAAGCAAAACCCGTATTGCCATGTCCGCGTGTAATCTTAACACGAAATGACTGCGGTCGCTCAGGAATAAGCTAGCATGTTCCGCTTATCCAACCAGTGTGGCTGAGGCCCCGACGGACGCCTTGGCCACTCCTGCTCGAGCACACTAGCAACCAAGTTACCCAGATTTCGCCCCTACCTCAGTGCGCACTGCCGTTCTGCACACAACTGTAAGGTACCCAAAAAGGCTATAGGCCCTCAACTAGTTCCTTTTGGGGGTTCATATTTAGAATCCTATAAGGTAATCCCAACAAGGAACTACTATGGGGCCTATGGGTATCTTGAGCCAGAACCCAACAGGCCCTGTCGATCCATCCTCTTGCCCCATACACGCTGCGTCAGCCTTACATACAAAGCTCCTTTTTTTCAACTGGGCTTGGGGACGAGCAAGATCCTTGCATTACTAAGCCCCAAACCCGAAGCCCTACCCCCCCAAAGCCTGACACGCCCCCTGTCCTTTCTTGCCGCCTTTGCCCGATCCAGGCTCAGGCTCGGAAACCTCTCAGGAAACTAATATGGAAGCCTAGATAATTACCTAATTATAATATTCCCTAGGGGTCCTTATTATATGTAGAGTACAAGCGGCCCCAAAGCCCTATTTTAGTCAGCAAGCAAGGCTTCCACATTCATAGCTTTTTTGGCCTCCTACTTCGCGAGGACGAGGCCGATGTCGGGTTTCGGGTTCAGTGGCTGTAGGACACTGAACCCTAAAGCCAACAGCGGCCCCAGAGTGCATTAGTTCTACGATTGTCGACTTTGCCGGGTTTAGGCTTTAAGACCTTCGGTTTGGGGGTTTCGGCGCTCACACTCGGACACCCCAGGCGAGGCATGTGGTTCGGAGTCTGCTGAAGAGTGAAACCACTTACGAGCGAGAGAGAGAGAGAGCGAGAGATGAGTCTCTGCAACAAGTGCCACTTAAGACACAACTTGCTAAGAAGACTTCCCACGACTTTCCCCAGATCCTGCTGCGAAGGCATAACCGAGTTGAGGGTCTTGGTCACTACTCTCAGAGATCATGCCATCAAGATCGCGGGCAAAAGACCCATCTTACATTAACAAACAATGAAGACATGCCGGGGGTCGGGTGTGATCCAAGGTCTTTTCATGATCTGAGAAATGGTCACGATTTCCAGATGAAACCAGCCACCCTAGTTAAGACACCTGTCTCGCATGCATACAAACGAGGTAAGGGGTTTGGGGTTTAAGGGTTTAGAGGTCTTTCATTGCCTCCCTCCTAGCTGTTTTTTGGGCCAGGGTTTAGAGTTTAATGATTTGGGGATTTAGCGCTGTGGATTTTATAGGGTTTATTGGTTTACGCTCTCAAAATTCGGACTCACCAGGTTTAATGGTTTAGGGAATGAGTTGCCCGGGGTTCAGGTTTGGGGTTAAGGGTGTTTCGGCTTATTTAACATCTGGCAGAGCCTTCCGGAGTGTGGTGGCCTCCGCGCCGGCCAGAGCGGCCAACCGCGAGCGGATCACCAGCGTCACGCCATCCCGGACCTCCTTTCAACGGGTTATGACAACCGTTGTAGTGACGCTTATAATAAAAAACAGTTCGGGTTGAGGCTGTAAGAGTTCAGGTCTCAGGACGTAAGGTCTAATGAGGCTTTTTCAGGGATCCCTGTGGGAAAACAGGGACCCTGACATAAAACCCACACGGCAGGATGCTGAATGCAAGGACTCTTTTTTTGCAGTTCTCAAACTCTGACTTGACGTGTCATGGGCGAACCTCTAAACTGCCGACTACAAAGGCCAAAACACCCACAGTCATGAGTTATGCACGGATGATGGCAGTCTCATGCTTACCGCTCATGGTCAGCCGAGGGCTTGGGATTCACAGGCGCTTTAATTCACCTTACATTACATGATGAATCGCCTACTTTCCCCTACCTGCGTCGCTTTAAGTACTAAAGCCCAGGCCGCACCTCAAACCTCCTTACAGCCGATTACAGCCTGTACCTTACGCCCGAAGCCTCATACTTCTAGAGCGCCTCTCAACCAAAAACTCCGAAGAACCACATAAAAAACCCTGCGCACTATCACGCCGTCAATCTTTTCTTGCTAGTTAAGCGCTCCTTGGAACCTAAATCCAACACACCTAACCCTAAACCCTAAACCCTAAAACCCAAGAAACCTAAAACCCTCAAGCCTCTCGCAGGCCTTAAAGTCTGCCAGGGGCTTGTCGACCCTCTGCAGGCCAGGAGAGAGTCGCGAGTCGCGCCACTTTAAGGTCTCACCTGGGGTTTGGGGGCTTAGGGGTTTAGGGATTTAGGGGTTCAGGGTTTAGGGGTTTAGGGGTTTAGGGTTTAGGGGTTTAGGGGTTTAGGGGTTTAGGGTTTTAGGGCTTACGGTTTAGGGCTTAAGGGCTCCAGGCTTTGCAGCTTTGGGGTTTTGGTGCTGTTTTTTCCTGTCGCATGGCCAGGAAACGAAAATATTCGCTGTACCATACAACAATATGGGAAGGTCCCTAAATTAGGGTCCCTTTTTCGGTCCCCAATATAGTACGGCACCCTTATAAAAAGGACCCCCAAAAGGGACCCTAACTTTGAAGACTACCCATATCTCGAAGGAAGAGAGTCCAACCCCGAACCACTAAACCCCTAAGACCCTAAGTCGCAGAGCGCCTTGAACCGGATGCCCGGAGGTCTCGAGGCTCTCGAGCAAACCTCATCGAATCCTTTGACCATGGGCTCCTATGTAGTTCCTTTTTGGATAGTATATACTATAATTCCTTACCAAGAAACCATAACAGACCCAAAACGGAACTACATTGGAGCCCCTGGGTAAACCCAAGGTTTCGACTCTCGGGGTTTCGGAGCTCACACTCGGACAATCCAGGCGAGGCATGTGGGTTTAGGGTGTACGACCTCTTCGAAACGCATGGAGGGTGCAGTAAGTAATGGGGGCCTCACCCGGATCTCGTCTGTCCCAGACTCTGAACCCCAAACCCCTAAACCCCCAACCTCTGAACCCGTAGCTTCGATGCCCAGCTGCAACGCTTGCTCGTGAGCGGCGGACCTGTCAGTCCACAGAAAACTGAGGACAGGGTTTCAGGTTTGTGCATAATACACACACATAATTAATGAAACATAAATAAATAAATAAATGTATACATATATATATATATATATGTATACAATTTCTCGTAATATTGCGATTGTAAATGGAATCAACATGTTTGTTCGTTATTCATCGTTTGCTTGTTTTTGCATCCCACCCTGCTGGGACTAGTTTAGATTTAGAGTTATGACGTATGTTTGAGGCGTAGGGGTTCCGTTGTTCCAACTGCAACGGCTTTCCACTTTGCCGCTGGCCGACTATCGTGAAATCTACCCTCAACCTACGTGGGCTCAGATCTGCAATCGAAACTCAAAGACTTAATGCAGGGCCTTAATAATTAGAATAGGGTTTGGGGCCCATTATACCACAATTATAACAAGGATTCCTCAAAATAGTACAGTCTTGGTAATTATTTAGGCCCCTACATTAAGCTTTGGTCCTTGGACCTTTCTGCACGATAGCAACAAACCCCGGACACACTGCAGGCACATCCAACCAAAAGCGCTACAGGTTTACACCCGCAACCCAGTGTAAAGACATCCAGCCGCAAACCCTGAGCCTGTAAACCCAAAAACACACATCCACACTATCAAACCCCTTCTGACACCCTCAACAACACCCCAGAAAGTCACGAAACCACCAGAAGCGCTTAAATCCTAAACCCCAAACCCGTAGTAGAGCCTTCCAGATCCTAAAAAATACGGTTTAAGGTTTAGGGTTTAGGGTTCAGGGTTTAGGGTTTAGAATACCTTATAAACAAGAACACCACAAGCCACAAGCTCCGGAGGCACCCCCGAGCTTGTGGGGCTCAGGGTTCTTAGCAGACTCATCTCTTCCTGTCGACTGCAGAAGGGCTCGTAGCTTGTGGGAATGCAAAGCAGGAGTAGAAGGACATAGAGGGACATTACTACAGTGAGACATTTTCAGCAGTCATGATGGACACATACCGTCAAGATATTGATTAGTGCCGCAGCAAAGAGAATGGAAAGTAACAACTTGCACTACACATCCCAAGCAAAGACGATGAGATTCGTTACGTCGGGGGTTAGACGTATAGTTATATCGGGACTAACGTTAAGGGGATCTTACTATCAGCTCATCAGGCCCCTTTTACGATTTACGCTGAGCACCAAGTCGTGGGCCAGTGTTATGCGCTGCGACGATCTCGAGCGAGTCCTGAAAACGCATGCAGAAAGAAGTTTGGGGCTCGGTGGTAAAGCCTGTTTGTATTATATGCTGAGATAGGCTATAGGTGTTACACAGAATCTTCCGTGCGACTTCCTTTTATTGGAAGCTCGGATCACGTTGCTAAAGTCGGCAAGAGACGAAAGTTCGGTTGCCCAGTGGCACTCTGAACGTGGACAGATATCAGAAAGCAAGGTACTGAAGGTTTGCTCTCTGCACCAGATGTGGTGACATCCTTGTCCAGCAAAAGCTTAGAGCGAGGGATGGATACAGCTGGACTGGAAGACATCTCATCTGCCAGCTTTGTGATGGTTTAGGGTTTTGTGGGGGAGCTACTGCACTGAAGCAAAATACCAAGATTCTAGAGTCTGCTAGAGTTGATTGGCAAAGACATGCCGCTGTAGCAGTTGGTCGCAACGTGCTTGGCGAAAATCTTGTTTCCACTGCTGGTTGGCAACGACATCCCACCCTGACTCAAAGTGCAGCGGACCATAGCGGACCCTTGGGCTACCCTGATGATACTGGCCTTGGAGATCTCGTCTGTCGACTTGCCGCAGGCCACGGGCAAGATGTTTTCCTTCTCATCCTTCCGAACGCAGGATTTGGCGGCGTCTATGCTTGACTTCTGACTGGCTGAGAAGCCCAAGAGGGCAGTGCGCCGAGCTGCGGAAGCCCGCGGGCCTGAATTCAGTGGCTTCTTTCTCAGAAAGCCAGAGCCGGAACAGAGGACCCCAAAACACGGCATGCATGATCCCACCATGTCTGGAAATCTCCCGGGTTTACTTGAAGGCTTGCCTGAACCAATTCGGAGTGAGACGTGTGCCGAAGCACATCCCGGCGTAACAGATTCGATGCGCCCATTTGCTTGGAAGCCGCTTCGTCTTGCGTAAACTGTTCTAGCAGCATGTGCACTCCTGAGCATGGGGTCCTGAAAGCATACAGTAGGCCTAAAGAGTGGGATATTGATGGGCGCACCGTCATACATCTTCTCCTAGTAAGATTACTAAATGTTTCTGGACTTGAACATCGGAGCCCATGCGCCGAGTGAAAGACTAGATGCTGAAGGCGTCTGCTACATGCAGAGCCCGGTACGTTCCATCTACCGATGCCCGTGCAGCTGCTCCTTCGATACCGAAGAGGCATCGCAGCTGCAGGAGGAGGAGGATTATCAGCAGAAGGTAGAAGGGCATGAAGCTAATCAAGCCCTGCTGGAAGACGTTACGAGTAAATCCAGACACCATTCCGGTGCACAGGGAGCAGTAGCCAAACGTCACAATGGCACTGAGAGCGGCCAAGACGAATTGCAATGTCACTGACTGGACGGTGAAAGCCTGCTGTAGCATCCGAAGAAGAATAGGATACAAAATGGGAAGAACAAGAAAAAAGTTGGCAACCCAGGTTAGTGTCTCCGACAGGAGAGCTTTATCAATGGATTCCAACCCATAAAGGGATCTGCAATCGTCACCGCATTGGAGAGAGTCCACGGGGGAATACAAGACCATGGGCAGAGTAGCTACTAAGCACATGCGGTATGGCACATGGAGCTGACTGCCAACACTCTCCATCACTGCACGGCGAAGGGGACCACGAATGTAGCTGTTGAAAGCATCCAGCGCTTCCTGATCAGCCTGAATACTAGCCGCCACACTGTCCTGCAGGACCCGCGGTGGCTCGGAGTCAGTCTGGGACATAGCGGATGGGTTCGAGGTCGTCTGCAA